TTACAAATCAAATCTTAATCTGACTTAATGTACAGGTCACGGTTCAGTTCTGAATTCACTGAAGCAGGTAGAAATGGATGCTGTCATTATGGAGGGGGACCACTTAAATGCTGGGGCGGTTGCGTGTGTACAGAACATTGCAAATCCTGTTAGCCTGGCACGACTGGTCATGGATAAGGTAACAATCGTTTTCTTATCAACCTATATTCAATTTTGACGTAAAAGAGAACAGGACTAAAATGTTTCCATAGATTGAACATGTTGAACAGTACCAATATCACAGTCCTCCCCGCCCAATTTCCCGTCTGTTAATCGGAGGACATTTTGGACTTCCAGATGCACTAACTTAATAATATTTGTATACTCTATCTTTATATCTATTACAGACAGACCATGTATTACTAGTGGGACGAGGTGCCAACATGTTTGCAACTGAAATGGGTGTCCCCAGTGTACCCATGGAGACATTAGTAACACCCAATGCAGTAAAAGAGTGGGAGGAAATGATGGCATACAATCAAACAATTAGATCTTGTTTCAAAAATAGGTATAATTGCTAGTTGCATGATATAAGGTTATACTATTTCGATGTGCAAATATGAATTTCATAATCCTAGATTCCAAATAGGAGCATTGCAAATCATTACTTAAACTGGCTGTGTAATGAAAAAACTAATTTTAGTTTTATTAATTGAGGAAAGTGACTCAAAATGCAAAACATCTTGAAAATTGTATTTTTATTGGAATGTGTTCCAGAAAAATAACCCGCCGTCTTTGTTCACTTTAATCAATGTAAACTTATTTTAAATATTTGTCCTTATGTAGTAGTATATATTACACTGCAATTAAGTCAATTTAAACCCCACTTAGGTAGCAACACAATATAATTAACTGTAGTTTATTTTCAAGAATGTACAGTTGTAATAGAATACTTTCGGGACACCCTGTACGTTGACTCTTCTTTTATCACTTTGCATTCTTTAATAAAACAATTTATAATTTTTAGTTGCTACCTGAAGTATTGAGCTAAGCTAACTTACAATTTCTCCTTCATGATATCCATGTCTAACGGCTACTCTGTAGCTTGCCTGTTACATGGACACCCTAATCCCTCTCATACATGTATTAACTCACGATCAACATATACATACTGAGCCTTATGGCCTTGGGCTTTCGGCCCTTTGCCATTATTTCACCAAATACCAAATGCTCAGGGTCTATCCATTTCGTAACATGCCATTTCTATAGAACATCCATGGTATTGCTATCCAATCCGGGAAAACCATGATGCCATAGTACCTGTACGAGTGGAGAAATATTAATCAAGTTCCCCGAGGTAGAATCGTGTGGTATAACACTCTCATAAACAAAATTCTAGTCTAGCTGCAAACCCCTGTGACCCCTCTCCCATTACTTGACTACACACCTTCTAACACAGGGAAGGTGTATAGTGGGATGGGGTGGGGGAGTCACATGCATGGGCTTGTAACTAGACTATTAAAAGTCCTTGTATTGTAGGAACATCGACGAGGCTGTGCCAGTACAGACAGGTCACGATACTGTAGGTGCAGTTGCACTTGATTCAAAAGGAAATGTAGCATTTGCAACATCCACTGGTGGTATCACTGCCAAGCGACCAGGGAGGGTAGGAGACAGTCCTTTAATTGGTGAGTAATGGCGCGTGCATGGACTTTCAATAGTACTGGTGATCCACTCGATTACGCTGGTTACCGAAACGGGTCGTTTCGGTAACAAAATGTCGGAACGTCGAAGGTATGATGCCAAATCTCAGAGCAATTTATCTCCATTTAAGAAAAATATTGAAGAAATTGAGGGTTGCATTTTTGGGGTCACCCTGTAAATTATTATAAAAAAAGAAAACATGGAAAAATTTGATTATGTTTTGATTTATATATAGTGTATTTGAAGTTTTTGATGGCTCCCTTATATTTTAAACATATTGAAAGGTTTACTTCAAGGGACGAAATCAGAACACACCCATCATCCCGTGGCTCCTTTCCATGATTTGTCCCGATTTTATGGGTGTACTGTATATTATATCGACCCAAGTATGGTGTGTTTTTCAGGTAGTGGTGGATACTGTGACAACAGAGTCGGTGCCGTTTCTACCACAGGGCATGGGGAGGCTATCATTAAAGTATGTCTCGCTAAACATATAATGCAGTATATGGAGCAAGGTATATAACATCGTATATTTAGCACATTTTCTGCCATGCATGCATGTTATGGTTTTATTTTCGATTATCATCTTTTAGAAGAGAGAAGGCTAAAATTTTCAAACATGACTCATGTTATGCAGTTAATAACAACAAAATACTTTATTTATTCTCATTTCAGGCTATACAGCACAAGAAGCATCTGATAAAGCTATACAGTACATGACTGATAGAGTACAAAGCTCAGGTGGAGTAATAACTCTGAAGAACAATGGGGAGATCGGGTTGAGCTTTAGTACAGAACGTATGGCTTGGGCATCTCTGCAGAGCAATACTTTAAATTACGGACTTAATCCCGATGAAAAATGTTCAGAGAAATTTATCATTTGACAAATTTTGAAAATTATTGAATGAGCAAAATCAACAGGTCGATCAATACGTAAATTAACAGATCAATGCGATTCATGGATGGTGCATCTAATGGAAATTGTTGTGTTGTACCAAGGAGGATTGGCTCCCAGGATCGAAACTCGATATTTTCCAACAATGAAATCGTCGTAAAAGATCGTTATTTTCTGATATCAAAACCGACTATAAATTCAAGATAAACAGTTCAAAAGATTCGAACCAATATCTGGATCATTTCTTGTCAGTTTTGGAATTTTTCGTAAGGAAACAAGATAAGGCTGTTTGAATTCGAATTTTGAATCACGATATGCCCATTTATGTGACAGAATATCGATGTTGCACTCTCGGAGCCAATCCTCCTTGGTTCTGTGCAGTCGACGATAAATGTAAGGTGTATCATTGTCGAAATATCACGCCTAAGTAACCATCGACAACGTACAGTGACAAAATATACCGTCGTACACTTTAGATGTACAGTGCGGTGTCACTATTTAACCGATTTGAAGCAAAGGCGATGATGTAGGTTTGATGTAGGTTTTAAAAGAAATAATCTGAGGAATGCATTACGTATATCATGTTTGATTTTGTGTGTATTTGTTTGGGAAGAGATTTAACTTCCGAATAACGTTAAAAGAGTTTCGAAAAGTGCTCGATTTTTTCGTAGTCAATCTACCCATATGATTGGTCGGTTAGAAAATGTTGTTTTCACACATTTCCTTTGATCATTTCCTCGCCTGTCGTCTAGGAGTGTCGAATATGTCTATGAGAATATGTTTCTTTAAGCTACACAAACAAGGTCTGTTGAAGATTAAATAAGTATTAACGTTATAATTTAAAAAATCATAAGTGTACGTTGTCAACTCGAATGTACGTTGTCCCATTGAACTTACTCAATTCACAGTTAACCCTAATGCAGGCAACGTATTTTCATTATTTAACAGACAGGGGGTCAGATGCATTCAAAATTGAAACAGAACAATTACAGAATTACTTCAATTTGATTGAACTTTTGAAACTATTGAGCACTTTCCAGATATATCATAAACGGGATTTTAAAAAGTCATATTCAATAATCTAGTATAGATTTATCTATCAATGTAACTAACAAACGTAAGGTACAGACGCCAAATAATGAAAGAGGCTGAAAGCAAACTCTGTTGCGGTGCTAGTCCTCAACATATTCTATTCCGAGAAATGGGCGCAAATTAACCACCACAACAATAATACTTTCATAAAATGAAAAAGCAAAAAATCACATTTAGCCTACCTTATCTTTAAAATCATGTAGATCTGTACAAAAGATACTTGAACATGTTCGTTAAAGATCACTTGTTACTCATAAAAACCTTAATGAATTTTGAAAAGTAATCATTATATTGTTTAATATTATATCTTATGAATTTCAATTACAGGGACAACGTACATTCGAGTTGACAACGCACATTTCTGATTTTTTAAAATTACAATAAATACTTGAATATTTATTTATCTCCACCTCTCCTAAATTGTTTAGTTTAGAGAAAAATGTTCTCATAAAAATATTCGACACTCTTAGACGACAGGCGAGGAAATAATCAAAGAAAATGTGTAAAAATCAACATTTTTCAACCGACCAATTATATGGATAGATTAACCACGAAAAAGAGTTAAGAACAGAGCACTGTTTGAAAATATTTTAATGTTACTAGAAAGTTAAATGTCTTCCCAAACGAGCTCAGATATCTTTTTAAAACCTACATCAAATCTACATCATTGTCTTTGCTTCAAATCGGTTAATAGTGACACCGTACATCTAAAGTGTACGACGGCGTGTTTTGTCACTACGTTGTCGATGGTTAGGCCTGAATATTACACGACGAAACAGTGTGGAGACTGATGATATAGCTTACAAACCCACATAAAATGTTTCAAATGGACGGCTTTAAACGCGGTGCTATACGTTGCCATGCAATGCCAGTATTATCGGAGACCTATCTTAATTTGAAATAGAAACAAATGCAAATGAAAAAAGGGAAATTTTACTCTTGAATTGGTAAATGAATAGGCGCTCGGAATTGGACAATATGTTAGGTATTCTAGGATTTTTTTTAAACCAATGCGCTTCTAAGATATGAGATCTATTAAAAAGGCGCATCGTCACCGACGTGCAGCGGTCAATTGAGATCATTTCTCGCTGATTTATGAACCATTTTTTTAAATTTTTTGGCAAAAATTAGCACGTAAAGATAAATGCTGTGCATTGGTGGGTAATTGGTGTAACGTATTGCTTATTAAACTATACGTGCGGCCTGTGAAAGTAAGTTCTGATAAATTTACGATTTTTCAAACGAAAATCCTTCAAAAACCTCTATTTGAGATTTAAAAAAATTACATATCACACTTTGATATCATTGGGTAAGACAGCAATTCAAGCCAAAGTGGTTTAAACTTTATACGGGGGCTTTAAAATACAAAAACTAGACGGAATAAGATCACTTTTCCCTCGAGGGTCCAAGTCTGTCCAAGCCTCTATGTTGAAACCAATTGGAAACCAACCAGATGAAACCAAACTTTTGATTTAAGTAATAAACTGGATAAAAAGATTCAATTCTGCTTTTCTACTACGTGGTAAGTTTACATTTTAATCAGTGATTTAGAAAATACACTTTACATGATATTTAAAGAAGAATATACAGCACAGTCTTGAGTCAATGTTAATTATATGTGTAGTACTTACCTTTTTTTTTATCTTTTCACAAAAACCAATCAACTAACTATATACATTCATCGAGAATTTGAAAATGTAGTACAAGTTCATAATGTACTTGTATTTGTACTTCGTATAAGCACAAGTACATGTACAGGTAAATAATCTATATTATGTCACCACCAAAAAGTGGTGACATATTGTTATGGTCTCCGTTTTTTGTGGCGGCTGTTGGCGTCTGTAACGAATCTTGGCGTCTGTAACAAATTCTTAAAACTTCCAATAACTTAACAATTACTGTCAAGACTGACTCCAGTTCGTTTCAAAATCATCTACAGGTTACCAGAAGTTCAAATCTGACTTTAGATTAAAGATTTGACCTTCTTAAAGATGTTAATTTAAGAGCAAAAAAGGCTCCAAAACTTAATGAAATATGTAGTTTGGATGTTCATTTATGTCTGTGGATTATATTTTATACCACAAACACTTTATAAATACCTGAAATTTGCAATAAAAGTGCCCAAAAATTGTTGTTTGGAAATTCCCCATTTTTCCTGTATCGCGCTAGCCACGTGACCATTACGCGTAGCAGGCAATGTACAGATGATTACAGTACATATAATATGTTCAATATGGCAAACATCAGCGATTCTGATTCCCGGGTTCTGGGAAATGGCTATATAAATCGGCGAGAGGGTGTAATTTGAATGAAGACAATTTAAGGAGGGGAAATGTGTGCAAGTATGGCAGTAAGAGAGCAGATATGGGGACTTTAGACAAGAACTATGACGGAGAATCAACTAAAAATGTGAGTTCTGGAATGAAGACCCGTTGCCATTGACTGAAGATTCCAGCGATCCTATTATCATACTCAGTTTGAATCTAGACGCGGAAAACAGATTATGAAAACAGGTTTTCTGCAAAGTTATCAAATTTAGAAAATATGGATCTTGTTTTTGAGTGGCTTAACAAGCATTTAGATACAAGACTTGGCGCTATCTCTTGTCAAATACATGCACTGGACTTGCAGTAAATTGGCCATTGCAAATTGCAAAATCAGATCGTCAAATTAATCGCTTCGTTTTTAAACCTACGCTTCATATCTTCTTCCAAAACTTTAGGATTCGATAGAGATAAGTTATAACTTGTACAGGAAAAAATGGCAGATCCTACCTTAATTTAGAATCGCTGATTTCTCTGGACAAATTCCGAGAACAAATTGTTCAACATCGCGATCACCTCAGACAACATGTCGCGTGCGTGTCACTCTGAACTCATGTGATAAAATACGGCATCTTGATTGGTTACAACTCGAGTTGTCATGACGCGAAAAGCAGTAGTAAACACTGAATATGTTAATGAACTGCCATATATGGAACAATTGTATTTCTGATTGGTTAACTTTACACGTGTCCTAAATGAATATAGTAGTCGTAGTAAATGATTCATTGATAACTCTGAAAGTGGGCGTGACCAGCTTCATTTTGACACCAAATTCAAGATGTTTCAAATCAAAATGGCCTCGCAAGACGAGGTTGAAATATCAGCAATTTGATACTGATATGGTCTACGATAGATCAAAATTGCCTTCCCCGCGTCACATGTCACGTGAGCCTATATTTGTTGAAAAATGAAAGAGATAGTGACACTTTTTAATCTTAAGTTTATATCAATATTACAAACACATATCTATTTTTTCATTATATATTTATTTCTTCATTATACATACATTTGTTTTATACTACATTGATTTATTTTTGCAAAACCTTTGCTATTAGATCTTTAAGGTCAAAATGTATTTTTCAACTTGCTTCAAAGGACGATTCTCGGTTTGGAGAACAGTCTCCTGGGCTAATAATTTTTTCATGAAAAATATAGAAATATTACCCAAATTAAACTATGGATATTCAAAAGAGGACATTTAAATCTACAAGTTGTAAAGATAACAACTTGGTCTGAAGCAGGGATAATGCTAAAATAGACCGATTCAATATAAATACAAGTCTCGATTTGGGGAAAGAAGTTCATCAGTGTACTGCGCTAATATTTTTTTGCGAAAAATCTAGAAATATTACCCAAATTAAATTATAACTATTCAAAAGAAGACATTCAAATCTTTATTATGTAAAAAAATCAAATTTGTCCGAAGCAGGGATAATGCTCATTTAGATTGATGAACTTCGTTCTCCAAACCGAGAATCGTCCTTTACCATTTTTTCAAAATCATCTACAAGTTCTCAGAAGTTCACACCTGACTTTAGATTTGAGATTTCACCTTCAATGACCTTCTCAGTAGTTCAAATCTGACTACATATTTGACCTTCAGTGACATTCTCAAGGTTAAGAAAATATTTCACCTTCAATGACCTTCTCGGGTTCAAAAAGGCCATTTTCAAGTTGCTTCAAATTGAACAATTTTTTTTCAGTTCTCAGAAATTCAAATCTGACTTATGATTTAACTAATAATATTGTGAGCAACTTAGTGGTGACACTTGGTGGTGTCATGTTAATGCCTTGTTTAATATATGTTAGACTTGAAATGGATGATACAACCGGAGAAATAACCCCTACAATTTTGGTACATGGAGGGGCCTGGGCTATGCCAGATGAAACCGAATTAGCCGAAACCAATGTTGGAGGGGTTAAAGCAGCAGTTAAGGTCGGCTATGAAGTCTTAGTAAATGGTGGTAGTGCTGTAGATGCGGTAGAGAGTGCTGTGCGTTGTCTGGAAGATAACCCCGTTTTCAACGCTGGTTAGTTTATTTCATTATATACTCCATATGCTCCTTATCTCAAAGAACGAAGTTCGGTGGGGATATAGCGAAGCCCTCCATCCGTCCGTCTGGTAGATAACTTGAATACTTGCGAATGAATTGCCTTCATATTTGGTTAAAAAATTGATGATGACCGCCGCTTTAAAGATAGCTGGAATTTTTCGTGAAAACCTTAAGTTTTATGGGGTTCCATACTTTTAATTTACATAATTGGTCCTAATTATTTGCCTCGGTTGGAGAAATTAGCTAAACTGATAAAAAATATTACATTTTTGACAGTATCCGATTCTTTAGTTTTATTTGTGTTTTAAAATAAGATACTGTTGATATATTAGAGTCAACAAAAAGTTCTGAAAAGCAAGCCCAATGTCTTGTTTAGAAACCCCCATTATTAAAAATGGATTAAAAGGCTAATTAAATACTAATTAAAAAAAAAAAAAATACTCTCCCATATGATCGATCAGCTCGAGTTTTGAGAAAATGGGGATTTCAGCAAGGATGCATACTGTATACATATATATCAATTAATGATATCATTGTGAGTTTCCATTTTGAACTGTGAGAATTTTGGCAAAATGGTGGACCCATTCTTCTACCATCATTGGCCTCATTGTCTAAAATACCTATATTTTATCATGAAGGGTCATTCACTTATGATATACAGGTCACGGTTCAGTGCTGAATTCACTGAAGGAGGTAGAAATGGATGCTGTCATCATGGAGGGGGACCACTTAAATGCTGGAGCGGTTGCGTGCGTACAGAACATTGCAAATCCCGATAGCTTGGCACGACTGGTCATGGATAAGGTATAAAGTGTTTTTTTTAATTTACTTGTATATTAAAGGTTAGACGTAAAAGAGAACTTAACACGAGTAAGAATTCTTGCATAGAGTGAAAAAAAACAATATCACTGTCATATTGAATATATCTCATCCAGACATACTGACTTGTTCATATAAAATACTTCCACAGCTCACGGACCACCAGGCGAAAATAATTAATTTTACATACACGTACCAAGTAAGAACAGTGGTCCTCCTCCCCACGCATTTCCCCGTCTATTATATCGGAGGTCATTTTGGATTTTCAGAGGCATAGTATTTGTAGTCAACTCTTATATATTACAGACAGACCATGTATTACTGGTGGGGCAAGGTGCCAACATGTTTGCAACTGAAATGGGTGTCCCCAGTGTACCCATGGAGACATTAGTAACACCCAATGCAGTAAAAAGGAGGGAGGAAATGAAAACATACAATCAAGCTATCAAAAAACAATACGAAATTAGGTATTTTGGTTAAAGTTAGATCTCGTTGTTTTATATTAGAGTATGTTATTTCAATGTTCAACTGGAAATTCCATCTTCCTGGATTTCAAATATGAGCATTGCAAATTTTGTCTTGCATGCTGTCTGTGCAATGAATTTTTTATTAGAATTGAGTGAAGTAAGTCAAAATGAGCATCTTGAAAAATTGTATTTCAAATATGTTATTTGCTATTAATTATTCTTCAATTCAGTAACTAAATGTAAGTTCATAAGGTCATTATGAATGGACACTCCTCTATTATAAAATGAAATACCAAATAAAATCTTTTGATTTGGAGTTTTTTTTAGAAAAATCATAATCTCAGTATTAAAGTGTGGGAATTGCATGTTTCAGAATTTGACATATCTTTGTGAGAACTCTAAAGTCTATTTCAATAAATTAGAAATGAGGATTTCTCCCTAAAGTAGCTCATTTTAAAAAGATGCATATGCTCCTTAAAGATGTGCTAGGATTTGCCCTTAAACTTAACTCAATATATGTTAACTCTTGATTTGGATTTCATTAAACAAATGCAATATTAAAATCATGACCTTGCCTATTTTAACATAGAAAATCAAATTGTCTAACTTCAAATTCAATTGTATTTTGCGAAAACAATATGGAGGTATCGGACATGATGTCAATTTATTTTTTCCAGCACTAAAAACAGTTTTATTCTTTACACTGTACATATTGTACGAATAATAATTCAAACATAAGGAGGCTTAAACACTCCATGGGGGACTTTACGGTTGACACACCTTTGGAGGGAGTGTAAATTGTATGTAAGAAAATTACAAAAATGGTTTTATATGAGGGACCCCAATGAAGGTGGAGATTTGTGGATAATATAAAAAATTGAACCCCTGGTCACCAAATCCTGGCTACGCCACTGTAAATTTATCCAATGAACTATATTGATAGAACACATATCACATGTAAGTCATAGAAAACCGTGAATGCATGGTACCTGATAACCAAACTCGTCTGGCCCAGTTATCTACTCCCTGATTCTAAAATGTCGTAGATACGACGTCAGGAGTAGATAACTGGGTCAGACGGGTTTGGTTAGGTACTTGACTACATGTAGGGGTTGGCAAGATAGTTATCAAAATGCAGAATCCTTATATTGCAGGAAGATCGACGAGGCTGTGCCAGTACAGACAGGTCATGATACTGTAGGTGCAGTTGCACTTGATTCAAAAGGAAATGTAGCATTTGCAACATCCACTGGTGGTATCAATGCAAAGCGACCAGGGAGGGTAGGAGACAGTCCTTTAATTGGTGAGTAATGGCGTGCATTGATCTCAATAGTAGCAAAAGTGGGTTTAATTGCATACTTTAACAAAGATTTCTTCAAAAATCTACAGAGATAAAATTTCATGAAAATATCGAAAACCTTATAATTTTGAAACATATTACTAAATGATTAAAAAGAGAAATGTGATATTATTTTGATTTATATAGTGTATTTGAAGTTTTAAACAGCGATTGTGGAATCCTGGTTAAAATTGACATACAAATATTCCCAATATATGCTTCGAAATGATGAAATCATAACACATCCATCATCCCGTGGCTCAGTTTCATGATTTTTCCTGATTTTATGGGTGTACATATCACAGTGCATATATTGACCCAAGTATTGTGTGTTTCTCAGGTAGTGGTGGATACTGTGACAACAGAGTCGGTGCCGTTTCTACCACAGGGCATGGGGAGGCTATCATGAAAGTATGTCTCGCTAAACATATAATGCAGTATATGGAGCAAGGTATTTAACATATCGTATATTTAGCACATTTTCAGCCATGCATATTTTGGTTTTATCTCATTTTCGATTATCATCTTTCAGAAAAAGGGTAAATCTTCAAACGTGACTCATGTTATGCAGTTAATAACAACAAAATACTTTATTTATTCTTATTTCAGGTTATACAGCACAAGAAGCATCTGATAAAGCTATACAGTACATGACTGATAGAGTACAAAGCTCAGGTGGAGTAATAACTGTGAAGAACAATGGGGAGATCGGGTTGAGCTTTAGTACAGAACGTATGGCTTGGGCATCCCTCCAGAGCAACACTTTAAATTACGGACTTAATCCTGATGAAAAATCTTCAGAGAAATATACTATTTGATGGATTTTAAAAATTGATCGCGCCTCTAAATACGTTGTCAGTTGTATTTGACTTTAACCCCTAAGGAATTTGTTCGATAACTTTTTCGTAGTTTGTCTTTTGATTTGAAACTTCTCGCTTTTCTTAAAATTTAATTAAGCATGTTTGAGCGAAAACATTGTGAATGTAACCCCCCAGGAGGAAAGTCAGGGCTGGTCAAAGCTACTGAAATACCCAAATTTTCAGTAGTTTTGACTTGAAACGATCCAAATGTTCTTAGAATATGAAGAATATTTTCATCAATAATGGCTCAACATAATCCGCTCAAAATACTAGCAATTGAAAAACCTTCCCAATGACACTTAAGGCACCCTCATATTATTGATCGTTTCCGAGAGCAAACGGTGGAGGGGGGGGGGGGGCAGATCTGCTCCCTAACCGTTGGTGTAATTCTATGTAGCTTAACTGTTTAAAGGGTAAAGTTTAACAATCTTGATTCATTGGATACGTACATCTTTTCAACAACACAGATGGGAGTAGGTAGTTACTAGTCTCACCACCAGGATCAGATAGGATGGCAGGTACTTTAGAAAGTTTCCTTTCCATCGTTTCAGTCGATAAATTTTCATAACACCCTTATGTATCTAATAGTTATGCAAAGTGAAAAATGTCCAGTAAAGGAAAATAATATCTGTCCGATACAAGAAAAGATATTTCACTTTTTGCAATTTTATAACATGGGTTCTATGGAGAATCTTCCCGAACTACAAGTAGATGTCACATTTTCAAAAAAATTAAAAGTCTATGAAAAATTTTTGAAATCACATTTCTAGATGAACTCCTACACGTATATTTCAAATATGACATCGCTTTGACTGAATTTTGAATATTGAGTTACGTAAATTAGCGGGATAAATAGTGTAAAGTAATCGCCGTTTGCGGAACAAATCGTGAAACTTTCCTCAAATGATCACTGATTGCTACTCTTTAAATAAAGCAACTGTGCCAAAAAATCGCTCCATAGGAACTGCCCTAATTTTACAATTCTTACCCCCCCCCCCCATGGTCACGGAGGGGGGGGGTGCAATAAAAAAATTTTGACACAATTTTTTTTACTAAATTATGCTTAAACTTCAAATTTAATATCACCTTATCATGTTAAGAAGTTAATGTTGAACTAAAAATATGAAATACCATTGATTTTCAATTGCTATGTTAAAGGGTGGTGATGGGCGACGCCCACTTTTCTTGTATTGAATATTTTGCACCATATCACAGTTGCAGGAGTAAATCAAATAAGTGATATATGATTGTAAAATTACATCAATATCTAATGGTTCACATGACTATTATTTTTCACCTTTTTCACTCTTAAAGGCTTGTTTTGAGTCACACCCATCTTTTAGACATACAGAAAAAATGGAAGATACGGTTTGACTTGTGGTTTTTTGGGCTTCCAAGGGCAGTAAGACTCACTTGCATCGTGTTGATATGCATTGGTTTTTGCAGCTACACTTTATGTGAGCCTGGCAAACGTCTGATGCTTGAGGTAAAGTCGTCCACCTTGGTATCCATTTGATGTCTTCAAATATCCAGCCCCACTCAGCTGGGGAAGGAACTTGAGGATTCGCTGTAAGTGCTTGCCCCCAAATAAATACAGCTTGGTATATGACTCTCTTCATATGCTGTAACAGGGCTTCTGATGTTGGAGGAATGTGTGATTTTATTGAAGTCCTCTTTGTGAACATCTCCTTCCTCGCAGCATTGATTGATGTTTCATTGCTTGTTTTGTTGTAGACCAGAATAATAAACCGCTGTAAAATAAGCATGGCATCAAGCAGGGTATTGGGTCGTATGGAGATTTCTTTTAATACTGTAGTCAATTCAGGGTAGGTACTCCATTGGTTCCAGGCTGATGTCTTAAACTTTCCATTAAATCCTGATGTGGTGTCACATCCAGTCATAGCATGGAATATTGGGAAACATATAGCTTTCTGAGGAGTCATTTCATGGGCAATTTCGTGGGCTGGAAGGTATCTATAGGACTTTCCCTTGCCAAAGGCGAGCCAGATTTGAATGTTAAGTTGTGCAGCTATACTAACTGCCAGAACAACAATGTCTGAATCAACTGTTCTAATCATCATTTTTGTGAAGCCTTATTCATTGCATCATATATGTGCAGAAAGATTCAGGAATCTGCCTCTTCATGGGATGATCTCAGAAACATGCTGCTTAGGATATGCCTCTGCAGTATTCCCAATTGTTGTAATCAGGATTTTATATTCTCTGGTACTGGAATGGCTGAGACATTTGATGCAAGGAAAGTAAAGAGATCACTTTTGTTGTCATCCGAGCATAGAAATTCTGGCCAATTCCCTGGCAATTTGTTTACTGGATAAACTATTTGACGCTTTCCAGATCCACGCTTTTTTCTTGTTGAAGATTTGAGACTATTTGGTATATATTAATCCCATACAATATCAAGTCTTTGTACTTTATTAAGTTGATATGCAACATACTTATTAAATATGTCATCTGAAAATTGTAGGAAGGTTCTTGCTTCTTGAGTTTTCAGCAGGTGGACTATTATGGCACCATCAAGAAACATGGCTTCAACATCTGGTGTATTGATCTCTCTATTTGTAACAAGGTCTTCCACTGGTTTTAAGATATCTGCTTTGAGTCCAGTCTTGATTGTGCCATCTTGTGAAAGGGATGGAGGGAATGCCTGGTTCTCATGTCAGAAAAATTCATCTAAGTTGCCGTCTCTATTCTGGCACGCTATGTATAGTTGTCAAAATAGGGCAGTGTCATTTTTCAAGCTTGCTAGCTTTGAACTTGAGTTAGATTTCTTCTTTTGTTGTTTGAAAATCTTGAAATTGTTTCTCTTGATAGGGTCTGTGATGGCTTTTGATCTTTCAATAATTCTCTCCTTTATATATACTTCACATTGACTTTTCCCCTTTTCCTCAATTTTGTTCAATGTGTCAACAGCACTGTTTGACATTACATCTTTAGTATCAAGTGTCCAAAGTTCCTTTGATGTTGCAATAAAGGGGTTTCCTAAATCATTGATAACCTCAGTAAGGGAATTGACATCTTTCTTGAAACTGGTTTGATAACTAACACTGTGCTCATAGTTTGCAAGGACTTCATCATCATTATCCTTCATCTCATCCTCAAACTCAGTTAACATTCTTGCCATCTTTGGACCACCGACCATCCACTTCTGTAATGCGGTTAGATTGTCTAAACCCACAGCTCCACCCTCACTTTTGATCACACTATTATTTAGCTCATGGGCTTGGTAATTGGAGTACCATGTACCAGAATTTGAATATAGGCAACCCTGTTTCTTAACTCTGCTGGGTATCTATCCAAGATTCAAAATCAAGAGACAAAATTGAATTGATTGGCAATCTACCTGAAATCTACCCAAGTAATAAGACCCCCTCCCAACTCACACAACACTCCTTCTTAATTCAAAACTGCCCTTATTAGATCAACAATATCATATTTTCAAACATAACACAGTTCAGCAAAATAAGCAGAACTACTTCTTGATTATTTTTATCAATCATTTAGGTCAAAATCATACAAGGGTTCATCCAAAAGTCTTGGACTACCTGCTCTAATTTTGTTGGTTTTTGATAAAATTATTTTAAACTTTCCAATAATAAAGTCCAACAGTCTAACTACTTTGTGTATTAATTTCATGGAGAAAGGATATATTTTATGTAGTTTTCTAGATAGTTGTTAATATAGGGACCTTGCCACCCGGAACAGTATTCGCACATGGCAACTTTCAGCCTCAAATGTTGCCGCCATTTCACTTGTTTCTGCTGAAATGCAGAACATGAAAGAAATCAAAGTAGAACAAAGAATACGACAAGATATTTTCACTATTATTGAACTTGAGCAGCTACCATATGCACGATACAGCCTAGCCTCCGTGTGATTTTCCCTCTTTTCTCCAAGTTGAAAAGGAGGGTTGAAAGAAAATATTTTTTACTCATTGGATGAGATTTAGAGTGGCACTCCAGCAGCATTTGTATAACATAAGCAATGGCGGTTTCATAAATGTCTTCCATTCATTGGTAAAGCGGTATGAAAAATGTGTTCAAATTCGTGGAAAATATGTTGAAAAGTAGGTCTTAATACGTGAATATGATGATGGCAGATGACACTCAGACTGAAAATTGGAAATTCTCTCATATCATGACTGATGTTAGGTTGCGCATCTGCACCTAAAGTATTTGCCATATTATAACAGTTGTGACGTAATTTGCTATATTTAAATACCATTCTGTGTGGCCGGGACCCAGTATTAAGAATTATTTGGAAAAGTAGCTAAAATATATCATTTTCTGTTGAAACTTATACACAAAGTTGTTAAGATGTTGATCTTTATTATCTGAAAATGTCATGTAATTATATTAGAAAATAGCAAAGTTAGAGCGGGGCGTCCAAGACTTTTGGATCACCCCTCGTACTTACAAAAACTGATCTAGATTCTATCCTAAACGTTGATGCTCATTGTCACTCAAGCATGACCTTGTCAAAAACAAGAAGTGATTTTGGTAGTTGTTATAGTAAGAAAGATACACTTTTTGCTAGATTATTCTGTATTTGGATTCAAGTCACTCATCAGATGTCACATAGTTTGTCAAACTTTATTTTCAATTAAAATTACAATATTTATCATGTCGAAGTATATGCCACTCTGGCAAAGAGATAAAAGGAATTATTAAAGATAAGTAGATATTCATTTTACTAAAAATTGACTGCAATCTCAATCATTATCATGTGTATCATGGTAGAAGGTCCCAACATTGAAATTATGATACTATTTAATGATCATCCTAAAATGTTATGGCTGGTCATTAAGCCTACCCCTATAAATTTTAGGGGTAGGGGTAAAAATTGCGAAAAGTCGATAAAAAATGGAGGAAATTTTCAGCACAGTTGCTTTTTACACCCAGGAAGGTTGCCTGGTCATATCTGGAAAGTTCCACGATTTGTTCCGTTTTCGGCGCTTTCACCCTTTTTTATGTCACTATTTATCTCGCTAAATCCAAATTATTTATTCTCACACCTAGTCTATTGTTCAAATTCATTAAAAGGTTTGTTTTTTGGCTTAAAGGTATAGTGAAAATGTTTACAAATTATGATAGCATTAGGAGTTTACAGATCGTTTTCAAAATGATGCGTAAAGTGCTGGCTATTCATAGCTGCACAGAACATTTTAGTGATTTCACTTTTCTTCTTTGCTATGCCACTTAGTTTCACAGGATGCAGGAATGTTAGTGAACTGTTCAAAAATGACGAGAATATTAACCATGGCTTATCACGTATTCCACCAAAGTCCCAGTTATATGCAGCCATGCCAACGTTGCTGTACTTTACTCCTAAGGAATGTTGAAGTGTCGGGACTGCAAGCTCAAGGAATATCTTATGCCTGAAGAAGACATCCAAAATGGGTATGGCTATTTCGAAATGTTTCCGTGGTATGTAATACATATCTGAAGCCTGCCATGCCTTCCTTTTACTACCGAACAAATGTTTAGAGAGATTAACAAGAAATGTTTGAATTAGTTTGTTCGAGTTTTGTAATTGGTGAAGCTCGTCAAGTGCATTTGTGATATTTTTTTCAAAGTTTTTGAAGTGCATGCTACGGGTGATGATTTCACATTTGCCTTGCAAGTTTGACATATTGCACGTTGTAATGTTACCATGTTCCACTGATGCGATTTCGCTAATACCGCTGTTGTTTCCTAGTATGAGAGGATCCCTCATGCCAATTTTCGAGGTTTCTTCAACAACTTTTGAGAATTGTTCTACTGACTGAAAATTTCTCGTGTTAAACCATACCTCATCTAAAGGTAGCTTGGCGATTGCTTTAACTTTCATAATCGCGTCATCAGCGATAGTTAAGATACCTTCCACGCTCAATCCAAGTTTCAGGACCTTCAGTAGACACTCATAATTGGAACTACCCGGTAAATAATTCACTGTTTGCTTAAATGTGATAAAATTAATTTCCCATTCACGAAGGATAGATTTGCTTGGCTTATTTGGTCCACAATAAATGGTCTTTACAAAATGACCATCATAAAGTGCCTCTAAGTATGGGATACTCTCATAAACTGGCGTGTTGAATATAATCAACAGCAAAATGGGGTTTGGTTGTATCAGTTGCTGCTTATAGGTATGTCTAGATTTAGAGGAATTGTACATGTAGCATGTATTGTAAAGTAGGTTTTTGATCTTTGATGTTCTACCTCCAATATCAATCAATTTTGAATTTGATGGAAGCGACACGGGGAATCGATTATTAGATTGAAGAGTGATAGGAAAATCAACAGATTCATCAAGATGCTCTTTTGCAATAACCGGAAACTTGTATCCAATGTTAACAAGATCTTGTAACCATGCGCCTATTAGTTCAGCATCGGTAATTTCCCAATATCCTTTGTGCGCCATAGCATCTGCTAAGTTTTGAATACACAAAGGAAGGTGATTTGCTTTACATTTCCAACTAGATAAAAACTTGATAAGTTCACCGGCTTGGTAGTACAGCCTTTTTTCTTGTTTTGCATCATCTATGTACGAGTGATAATTTCGGAACTGGTAGCAATTCGGGGGCATATAACTTAAATGACCATCTATAAGCCAAAGAAGAGTCTGTGTGAAATAACTTCTCCATATGTCAGTTACACGGGATGTCACTGCTACAGGCAATATGAGGCCCCAGAATGCATCATAGTGGAATAAAGTATTCTGGGAATTCCATGGAACAAAAGTGCCTTTTGGGTAAATCAATGGCGGCATAAAATCATCGTATGTTAAATTCAATAAATTTGAATTTGATTTGCGTGTCAGTCGATAGATGGCATCTACATCCGGGTCACCATGAACTGCCCCTTGTTGTATAAGAGTTGTGTTCCAGTGCACAGCATTGTACTCACTCGTGATATTGCCCCCGATGTTCTCCAAGGGATAACCTCTTGGCCATGTCGTTGGCTGCCCATAATAAGCGTATGGGTTGAATAGTGTGGTGTTTGTTGTTGGCACGACGCCGTACATCTTGTCAGTAGTTATGAAACCTTTGAGGCCATCAGTTGGATGGTTGTCATCATCTGTTTCATAGATAATATTGGCACCATGCTGAAAAACCAAGACAGTAAAGTAACAGTCATATAAAGTCATAAAAGTAGACAGTTAAATGCAGAGAGCAATCTTTGCAGAGATAGAGAACATGCTAATTGGATGTATGAAACGTTGGGTGCTGTCGCATCCCCAACTAAGATGTACAAAGGGCATGAATATGTATGTGTAAATACAGCATATGCAACATGAATAATGCATCTCTAGGACCCCACCTTGATTCACAAGGCTTCAGTTGCTCCTAATTCAAAGGTGTGGGGCCTCTTAAACTGAGTGTGTGATGGACTATGTAAAATAAAACCAGGATGTCTCAAAATATGTAAAACTATGATTCCACTTTTTACAGCATTTGTTTATGTTTATGTTTATGTTTCTTTATTTTCCTCCGTGTTGGGGAGAGCATAAAAATGTACATCAAATTAGATTAAATAATATACAAAGGTTAAAAGTATAAAAAGGAGATTCAACATATTTACAGAAGCATGTTCTTCAGATGTACTATTTACATTGTTTAGGATGAGGGTATATTCAAGTATACTCCTCAAGACTCGTGGAATCCTGTGGAACAAACCTGAAGAAACCTTTAATGTCAAACAGGCTTACGCTACACATTATTATGAATTGCTCAAATATCAAATCATCCAAGAACAAATCTGACCTACTGCCTAGGAGTGTGTGAGTTAGTTTTTCATCGTCGAGGTTAAACAGGTTTACACCCACACAGATGGTCGATGAGTTTTTCAAAGAAGATGTTCCTATGCATTGAAAAATACTCGCACTGCAAATAATGCACAATGATACGTTCACATAACCTCAGGCCTCCTAGACTTCCAACAACGCGAACATCAGTTCTGATACCGCGAACTACGTTCCTTGCACTCGAACCACGGATCTCATATCGCGAACGTGAAATCTTATGTCGCGCACCACCATTTCCTTGTTTCCGAACATATTTCTTGTACCTCGCACAGAGATCCGTTACCACGAACAATTTGTACATAATACATCCGGGTGTTTGGGATTCCAAGTTACATGTATATACCAATATGCAACGGAGTGAAACAAGGAAACGAAATTCAGTTTCTCCTCCGGACTTTCGTTCCTTTGAAAAGCATGCAAGATTAACATCCACGCCCCGAGTTGGCAGGGCTTTAAATGATGTGTCAAAGGATAGCACTGCGTCCCACAGTCATTCATTTTTTGGATCAGAGAGTATCTGCGCACGGTGTGGTGTAATAGGAGATGTCATTTGTAAGAACCACAACGAAAGTGTAGAGGTGTGTGATAGCTGTGGTTGGACCAGAAACTGTCTTGACACTAGTATATCAAACGCTTGCACCGATGATCATGTCCCCGACATCCATTTTTGTGACTCATGTGGATGGCAGAGAGACTCAGCTGATTTCAGGTAGATCAACTGTTTTTGTATAGTTATCTTTTTTCTTACACTGGTTTAGGTGCCATGGTAGTTAACAGGAAATGACAAAACAGGAAGTGACAAAACCATGCCGGAGTTCAAACGTTTTTTGAACCAAGATATCAGAGTTCTGCTTTGACCTCCAGTCAGTTTAACTAGTTCCACATACCATTTACATGACCATGATCACAATGACCATGGTCAGATTGACCCTAGACATGATGAAATTAATTTGTCAGCCCTCTGAAATTTGTGACTGAAAAATAGATAAAAGTAGGAGCTTAGGAAAGGTCACTGAACAGAATCTCTTGCATTTTTCAGAAAATGTGCCTAATATATTGCTCTCAGTGATACAATCTTGGGAAATTTGACATCATTCGTTGAGAAAGAAAAAAATGAAAAAAATGAATTGAAAAGCGATGTTTTTCCTTTTAAGACCGCCATTTTTTCAGACAAGTTTCTAAAATTTTAAGGATTGTATCATTTAGAACAATATATTGGGCACATTTTCTAAAAAATTCAAAAGATCCTGTTCATTGATCTTTCCTATGCTCCTACTTAAAGCTATTTACATTGACCTTTTCAGAGGGCTGAAAAGGTTATTTCATCATGTCTAGGGTCATTCTGACCATGGTCAGTGTGATCCTGGTCACCCTGCATCATGCGACCTTAAACTACAAGGTTTACTTTTATACAGTGCACCTACATTGTAGTAATCAGTTATGGCTGTATTCTGTGTAGATGCACTGGCCCGCCCCTCCCTCCGAGATGGGCCCAGAAAAAAGGTCCGACATTTTAGCGCTCCACATGTCTTGGGTCAGATATCGCCCTGGTTTGCTGATCAAGTAAGGAATTCTTTGGGAACATGGGGCAGAACGGCCCTCATAATAATTTGATCCGTGCAGACGTTTTTCTAATCTGTCAATCATCGCGAACTTTCATGTTCCATCTTATGAAGAGATTATATTTCACATTTTCTGTGATTTTTCAGTGTGTTCGAAATTAATGTTGAGAGTAGGGCAAAATGGTCCATGGGTGGGGCAGAACAGCCCACAATGAAAGCTTCGGTTTTAAAACCAAGATTAATTTACTACATGACTCGTCAACACACATTTATCTCAGACGGTCAAAGATTAGACAGATAAAGTATTCTTAGCCCTTACCCTAAAATTACGATTTAGTAGTCATTTGATATGTTTTGAAACAAAAACCAAGTGTTAAAATCTTTATCAGGATGATAGATTGTTATTTTCCTGTATGTAAACAGTTAATCCCACAAGCCGTTATGGGGGGGGGGGGGCAACATTTAAAGGTGCAATAATAAGTGCAGAGGGGTTATTCAAAGATCGTGGACCAGTGTCAAAATATATTTAAGTTTGGATATTTAATCAAGACTTACATCTATTTTTATTATCTACAAAGAAACCCCCTAGATAAACATTATTTAAGCTGATATTCCTCTTGAAACATGGTGGATCTTAAAAATATAAAAGTGGAAGTCCCTTTTCTGAAGCTTTGAACTGAATTTACACTTCTTAATGCTGAAATTGATAATTTATGCATACATTTTAAAAAAATAGGTATGTCAAAGAAGATGTTAAACCAAATGTTGCCTTGATAGCTCAGAAAAAATGAAAAAACGTTCCTATTTTCTCTACAGTCCTTATTGCCCCTTTAAGTTAAGTTTTCATGGCAAAGGGTAGCATCTTCAAATAACCAGTAGCTGGAGCTACAGATATAGCACATCAAGTATTCTATAAAATCAGGAATATTGTACATACATGTAGGGTAACTCATTTCTTTATTATGATGCAATCATCGGCTCAAATGGACAAAATTGGAAAAAGCTGTCACTAATTTGGCCATACGTGTTGTTACTCAAAAGTCAGGTTTTTGTTTTTGTTGTTATTACCCAGCCCTTTCACTGGAAATGTCAATGCGCGTGATTGCAAGGTAGTCCCAATATTTTGTGTTTCCTAGAGCTTAAAAATACTGTTATCGTCAATGAGTGGATATTCATTCACATGCGGGAAAATATTTCTTCCGAATTCCATATGAAAACACCTCCTTGGAATTTTACTTGTGCGTAATAATACGAACAAAATTACGGACTTTTTTTCGATCAGATGCGTGGTTCGCGGTAACGGATCTCTGTGCGCGGTATAAGAAATATGTTCGGAAACAAGGAAATGGTGGTGCGTGACATAAGATTTCACGTTCGCGATATGAGATTCGTGGTTCGAGTGCAAGGAACGTAGTTCGCGGTATCAGAACTGATGTTCGCGTTGTTGGAAGTCTAGGAGGCCTGAACCTGTGGCAACTGTTACAACGATACATTTTATAACCTGGATCTGTGGCCAGGTTAATGAGGTTACCAAGTGACCACGTGTATTTTGGAAACTTAAGACCTATTTGCCATGCGAAACACGGTTTAATATTTTGATGAATATGTTGAAATATAACAAGGTTTGAGTTTGCTTTGACTCGATTTTTCCACGACTCTTCTTCTTTGAGACGTATTTGGCCTTTTACAATATTTTTGAAAAGCCTTTTTTGAATGATTTGACCGCTTTTTACAAAACCGTCAACGTATTCCTTGAGAACGTTGTGCTCTGCGACAATACTCATGATATCGCTAATAAAAATGGTCAACAGGATGAAGAATGTACGAGGCTAGTCTGTAAAGAAAAATGAATCGTGTAAAGGAATGTTTACAGACACAAAGTCTGTGCCAGAAATTCAATTTCATTATCGTAATAGAATTACATATTGACGTGGCTCCTAAGGTTGCCAGAACTACATCTGAGGAGACTCGACTTTCAAGCCCTTGTACAGTTTTGAAAATTTTCCTCTGGGTAACGGTCAGGGTGTCCTCATCAGCAGGAGAGAGACACCACATTTCAGCCCCGAAAATGGCACGCGGGAGTATGATCGTGTTCCAAATTTTGGAAAAAAATCAGTGGATTTGATCCATTTTTGTGTAGCTTAAGCACATTTTTCAAAGAATAAAATTTTGCATTGAGTTTCTTTTTGGCCGATGTGGCCAGAGGTTTTGAATCGAAATTTGGAGTAACTTCGTTACCAACATATGTGACCTTTCTGGTTTCGTGAACTGACTCAGCTCCAATGTGCCATTTACGCATGCCTTGATTTTTTACAAAATTTCTTTTTGACTCATTAAAAATCACAATATTACTTTTGCTGCCTTTACCTGCATGATAAATCATGCGCCATTTTGCGCTGTAAGAAAGAACAATATCTAGGAGTGCTTGTAGAGCATTTGGGGTTGTCGAAATAAGAGTGGTGTCGTCGGCAACGAGTATACATGGTATATGTCGATCCCCTAGCTGAAGACCAGAATTGGAGTCAATTAGATCTTTAATTAGGGCGTCGATATAAACCAGAAACCAAAGTGAACTGGTAACTCTACCCTGGCCAACGCCTTGATTAATACAGAATTGTCGAGAGTATGTACCATTGTATAATACCATGGCAGTTGTATCAGTATAACTGTCCACGATGAGTCGCCATGCTTTACCATTAATACCTAAAGAAAATAGCTTGTAAAAGAGGCCCTTGCGCCACAGAAAATCATATGCCTTGTGGTTGTCCAAAAATGCAGCAAAAACTACACTATTTCTTTCTTTAAAATGAAGGATTATTTTAAGGGTTAAGATGCGTTCCCATAACTTGTACATACAACTGGTTAAAGTGAGGCCTCGATAATTATCAGTAATTGTCGACTGCTTACCCTTACCTTTAAATAAGGAAATGATAATTCCCAACTTAAAGGCCGGTGGAATTTTGGCAATTCTAATCATCGCGTTAAAGATCCTACATAAATAATGAAGAACAATTGTATCACAAAATTTGAAGTGCTCAATAGTAACTAAATCGTGCCCTGGAGCTTTGCCGTTGTTGAAAGTGCTCAAGCTATGCGATAATTCGTCAAACGTGATTGGATCCTCAAAAATTCCATCATGCATGCTATGAGACTTTTCTAACATTAATGGGAATTGGTTTTCTATGTAATCATGAAAATTATTATCAAAGTGATGATGATTAGATTCTTTACCCAAACGTTCATAGTGGTCTACCCAAGCGCCACGGATTAAATCTGGATCGCGAATCATAATACCATCAACTAGTAACTCATGGCCAATATTAAGATTGCATTTAGAATGACCATTGTGATTTTTTACTAATCTATAAAACAAAGCGCTGTCAACTTCGGCTGCATCTTGTAAATCTTTGAGTTGTTTCTGATCGTATTCAAATTTTAATCTTTTTAGTTGTCGAGTGAAGGCACGTTTTTGTAATTTGTAATTGCGAAATGAATCAAAGGCAAGGCCACGAGGACTACCATCACGAATCCAAATGGTTCTTGCCTGTTTCATGGCTTTGTGCAAAGGACCCAGATTGCCTGTCTTCCAAAATGGTTTAAGGAATTTACGAAATTTTGACTTAGGAATAACTTTGTTGCTGCACTGTGTTAAAACACTGCTTAGATTAGAGACGGCACTATCAATTTGCTCTATGGAATCTAATGGTACATTTTCATAATGTGAAATATGATCAGTAACCATATTGGAATATAAGTCGAGTTGCTCAGAATTGGCTTTACGCCATCTGGTAACATTGCGCGAAGTACATGAATCAAGCTTAATATAGGGTAACCTGATGTTGACAACCAGAACAATGGGAAGATGATCAGATACATTCAAGAAATGATCGTCTAAGACGGCACACTCGTTGACTAAGTCAAGTTTACAATTTGGTATAAAAATGTGATCTATACCTGTTTTATGTTTCCCGCAATGACTGGCGTAAGTGAATCGAGGTCCAGAAGTAATATCACGACAGTTGACAGATACCAAGTTGCAGTCAAAAGCCCAATAATTCTCGAGGATATTACCTCTGTCATTCGAGACATCACATCGAGGTCCACTAGCGGAACTTAAGTGACCATTGAAACCACCAGAGAAAATGACTAACCCAGAGTCAGCATAGGTGGCGTATAATTCATACAGAGTATGCCGGTAAATATACTGCAAAGATAAAAATACTATATCCCTCAGAATGAATAAGTTCAATGCCACATATCCTGTCACCGTGTATGATTTTCTTTTTGACAAGCATAGAATTCCTGTATAAAATAGCAACTCCGCCGTAACCGCGACAGTTGCGCTCATTTACTCTGATTGACAAACTTTCGTCGCATATGCCAATTGCCGTGAAATTGAGATCTAATGAATCTAGAAATGAGATGTTATCAGGGCATAGCCAATGTTCGGTTAATGTGATGATATCGTTTGATTTCAATAAATTCATGAGATATGGGCTACTAGACATGACACCTCTGCAATTCCAGTTTGCAATTTTTAAATGGCTATTCATAAAATAAGGTAAAATTATGCGAGCAGTAAGTAATGCATGGATAAGGAAAACAGTACATGTTAATAAGAGTAATACACTGTACATTGACATTTTAGGTATAAAATCCTGTGTCGTCGTATCTATCGAGATATGGGCCATAATATGAATTGTCATCATGATATGCATTGTTGCTATAATCGCCTTCGTGCGCGTTGGTATGCCAGTCATCGTGATGAGGACTAAGTTTGGATTTATCATGCATTGGTTTTGAAACCCATTCTCTACAAACGACATTTCTTGGCCAAAAGTCGTGTTGCAAGGCTTTCTTGAAATCCGAAGCGATGACATTTACTCGGACAAGTAGCCATTCGTTTTCTGATCCAGCTTGTTTACGAGCCATTACTCTGAGCCATGTAACAGTTACACCGCGGGATTCAGCATAACGTGTAAGAGAAGGACGAAGTTGGTCGTAAGGAACGGATTTCACATATGCTAGAGCCAAACGTTTAGTATTACGTCTGTGAGAGATAACACCTTGAAAGTCATCATCAACTGACGCCACCTCGTTAAAATAACGAGCCTCATAATTTGCATTAAGATTATCAGCTGATGATGTCTTCGAAGTGGTATTAATGACACTCTTAATAGAAGAGCCTTTGAAATCTGTATTATTAGATTTGGATTTAGCAGATGAGAGATCATTTTGACTTACGCGCGCACTAACATTTGAAACAGAACTGGCTTTGTTTCGTGCTCGTTCTGATACTTGTTTATGTGGCCAGGGTAAATTAGTCGGAAATGGCGTTCTAGCACTAGATGTGGATGGCGGGGCAAGTGTAGTACAGGAGATACCAGCATTGTTTGAAGATGTAGAGTCGTTATTGTTGGCGCGTAGGTTGCTGTTACTGCAGAGTGACGTTGTCTGCTCACGGTCTGAAGAAGTGGCATTAGCGCTTACAGCTGCGAGTGATGGGGCAGGAACTGTAGTTGGAATGACAGACGGGGTGATATGCTCCGGCAAAGCTGACGTAGCGCTATGATTACCAGAAGCAGTTGAGGTATGAGTAATTGAAGTAGTAGATGAAGAAGACGAGCATGTAGAGATCAGTGTGTTATCTCCTGCTTTATGTGCATAGGAGTGTTGCGGTTTAACACTTGTGCCAGTGTAAGTTGAAGGTATATCCCAGACTGATGCATGTCTGGTAACAACTACATCAGTGCGTGAAGGTTCACTATGTGGACGTGATCGTATTGCTGTGGATGAATTGGTGGCATAGTGTTGCGAGCAAGAGGTTAACGAACGTTTTTCCACGTTATGGAGTTTATCTTGAATGGAATTCATTCTCTTGATTAGAGATTTCTTCATATCTGAGACTGTTTTGTTAAGGTTTTCTATTTCGATGCTTTGATCTTTAATAGTTTTGTTTGCCAACCTGAGCTCTGATTTGAGCTGCTGTGCTGAATCTTTGGTACGGTTCAGTTCATTTCGGGTAATATCAAGATCATTCTTGATAGCGTCAGCTTTTGTTTTGTTAATCTTGGCCATATCCAGATCAACTCATTTGTTACTAAGGTTTTTAAATCCATTATGTGCGTGAGGACGGTGAGGGCAGTGTCAGATGAAGTCGTATCGTTAATATTGAGAAATGAAGCTTTTTTTGTAATTGGTTTTCGTGAGGATTTCGAGTTAATCATACTTTTCACATCAGATATGTTGGCAGCACCTTCGATGAACATGAATAGCGATAAATTGATTTTTTTTACATAATATAGATTTGAATTTCTATACATTACAAAGCGTTGCGCTTTTAAAATAACATGACACTCATTAGATATTAAAAATAGCTTTGGCTAGAGGTCGCATCTCGTTTATTAATTATTAAGGCCAGGACCCATTGAATTACATCGGATAATTTTCCAGTAGTGTAAATTTACGCATCATTTATGAACATCGGTAATAAAGTATGCCTACAGATGCATGTCTGAGTTGATTTGGATTACTAGTACATAAAATCGTAAAGACTGAGACTTAATGATATGTTGAAAAAACTTTCGATTGATTGAATGCATTAATTTTCACCATTAAAACCTCTATGTGAGGAGCCTCGAAATGTGGCCTGAAAAGGTATGAACTAATGCATGGAACCTATCGAACGTTGAACATGTTTAACCTGCAATGACGTTTAAGAAGGTGTTCACTGTATAGATGACGTAGCCAGAATGGTTTCGTCTCTCCTAAACACTACACACCTATTCACTCACTCATATTCTACTCGCATTCGAAAATAGCGTTCGATTTTCGTAACGCTAAAGCTACACTCTGTAGTAATATGTAGAAATAATTTATATTCTAATTCGTTACACTCAAACGAATATAAATAAAACTTCTATACATTACAAAGCGTTGCGCTTTTAAAATAACATGACACTCATTAGATATTAAAAATAGCTTTGGCTAGAGGTCGCATCTCGTTACAGAAAATCTAGAGAAAGAGTTGGCTTCTTGACACGTTACTTTAACAACGGTACTCTTAACTTTAAACATTTTATTGAGAATATTTCATTACAAACATTCATAGACCAAGTTTCATGGTAACTCCCAATCTACTTCTATAATATCGTCTTTCACATATCCATCTTTTGCGGTCTCACTCTTCCAACGACCATGTCGTTTAAAATTTCTCTCTAAAACTGAACTGTTGGCCGCCGTTGTGGCGCCTCCTGATCTTAACGAATGTACACCGAAAAGCTTTGGATTGAGACCAATACTCTTGATGGATGTTAACACAATTTCTCTGACTGTTGTGTAAGATAACATTCTGTTAGCGGACCTTGCTACAAAACTACCATCTTTCTTGCGAGACAACCCTCTAAAAATATATTGGTCTTTTGATAACAAGTGCTTGGGATCAAGAGCCTTTAAATAACTTTGTAAAATATTATATGGGCATGTTATGTTACCAGTTTTTGCAATCACAACTGAATTTCCATTTCGATAAACATCTGTCTTGGATTGTGGAATGTTTATTGTAAAATACATTTCGTCAAATGAAATGTCACCTACGGTTATGTGTGCTAATTCGGAATAACGTAAAAACCCAGCAAAACCTAACACGCAAAGAGTGACGTTTCTCAAGTTTTTAAGTGAATTGTCCTTGGACATGTTGTTAACTAATTGAGTCAACATACTTGCGTCTATGGGTTCTTTTTTCTGAACAGGTTTGCTAGTTTGACGTTTTGCTGCCTCTATTATGTTAGTGACTAATGATGAACAGCATGGATCTGGTAAATCTGCACATTTGTGCGCCCAGCTAATGCTTGAGCGTGAAGAGTTCAAAACATGATATGATGATCCACTTTGTAGTTGAGCTAACAAGAATTTTGCGATATACCTTGGTTCGGAAGGAATGTCCTTGACTTCGGGGAAATTGTTAGACCATCGAGTCCACTTTTCGAAGTAAAATGTATATTTTTTCTTTGTGTTGTCGCTTTTACTGGAGTTGACGATTTCAACCATCAATTGTTTTGATAGTATTTTTAACTGTGGGTCTTCTATTGTTTTCATATTGTCCATGCCCGTTTCAACAATCCTTGAATTTTTTGATCATATTACAATTGTTTTTCCTACTGAGAAAACTTAAACACGTAATTATGCATGCATTTCTTCTTATTTTTTTTTTTTTACAATTCTTTTATCAGCTTCTATTGCTGCTCGTTTTCCGTCAACGTCGTCTTTCGAGAGCCTTCCGAGTATACCTGTAAAAGGATGTGTCTGGGTATATGCCCTTTTGGTCCCTCAGTCAGATGGATGTGAAATATGGTTTTTATTACTGTCTTAGTTATATTTGATAAGAATATTTACTTTTTCACGAGTTTTGATGCATAATTAACCCCCTGCTGAGAGTCAGAATAAGTATCTTAATAAATAAAAAAGGCCATTATCATAGAAAAAACACCAATGGCAGCATGTATGACATACAAAGGAGAAATAAGTTAAGACCCATGAAGAATTAATAAAAAAATCATATTATTGAAATATATTTAAGGATTAATTTTTTTCTTCAAAACTTTTGAATTTCCCGCCAGTTTAATTTGAAGGGGGAAAAACAAGATGGCTGCCATTTGATGTAAGAAATATCAAAAAAAAGTTCCTTCACTTTTAGTTTTCACAATGAGCACAGTTTTCCGGTTTAGTTTTTTTGACTGATTCTGATTCTTCATCACCAGGGTCATGTATAGGGATTATAAAATTGAAACCAAAATGTTGTGCTCAGCATGAATTTGACTGAAATATGTGTAACTTCACCAACACAATTGAAGTCTCAAAACTGGATGCTCAGTAACTTTGAGTGACTATAATCCCTTGATTACCCAGATAAACACCAATTCACTTATCAAGAAATACCAATCCATTCAATGTCTATACAAAGAAAGTAAGCAATGTTTTGGAGGATATGTTTCAAACTTTTTGTATAAATAATTCATTTAATATTTGCCATTGATTTTTTTTCAGTTCTCAAAAAGTGATTTGCACTGTCTTTGATGCCAATATTCTTCATCAATTGTGATACAAATTGATATTTTTGTAATCTCATAAGAAGGATAAGATATTGAAGTTTAATAATATGTGTGATTGAGTTGGTTTTTCAGACATTACAATTTTCAATATTTTCTAAGTCAATACCCAGACTCATTCCCAGACTCATCCTTTATACAATCGATAATATTTCAATTACTTGAACAACGGGGGTATTCTGCTTCTTCGGTGCTCAATATCTTTCACAGAATTCAACCAATCGAAGCTTTCATCCAGTTTCTAAAATTAATAGATATTCATAAATGACAAACATAATATGAAACGTGTACATGTATTTGATATAAAATATACAATTACATATGACAGAAACATAAACAAGTTGTCTATAAATTTGTACGTAAACATTTGTATTCACCATACTCTTTATTCTCATAACATACAACATAAAAATTAAAACAGAAAAAGATGTCTGTAATAGCAGAATGACGTATAGGCTTACAGTGTCTATTTGTATTCTTAGCATATTTCCAGCAAGATGTTATCATTAGTAAAGATACGTTTGCTATCACTTACTGCCCGTGTCAATGATATATTTTAACCATACAGTGGCTATTCGTTATATAATTCTGCAGTGACCATTCGTTCTTTAAAAATATCCGGTGTCTAAACGTCTTAAACCTACAGTGGGTATACGTTTTAAGCCTACGGTGGCTATTGTTTAAGCCTACGGTGGCTATACGTTTTGAGCCTACGGTGGCTATACGTTTTGAGCCTACAGTGGCTATACGTTTTGAGCCTACGATGGCTATACGTTTTGAGCCAGCCTACGGTGGCTATACGTTTTGAGCCTACGGTGGCTATACGTTTTTGAGCCTACGATGGTTATATGTTTTGAGCCTATGGTGGATATAAGTTTTAAGCAACGTAAGCAACATAATTGATGGTTATACGTTTTAAGCCTATGGTGGCAATTGGCATCCCTGTTTAGCGTAAGTTTGTCATATACAATAGAGAGGTTTCGCACAACGGGTTTGCTAAAACGTATCCGCATCCGTATCTCGTTACGTTTACGGATACGTTATTCGAAAATTTTCGTTTCGCAGTACGTTTTTTTAGCACGTAATCCACAAAACGTATCTCAAGCCGTGACCTTGACAATAACATTCATTTCCTGTGGAAGTAACACAACAGTTATATCTTCTCAAAAAGGTAAGATTTTGTTCACTCATGTCGTGTAATTTGGCAATATCGATTTATGTTATTTTGCCCCTCATATCATTTCGTGAACATAGAATAATAGTACATTCTGTCTCTAAACATGGGATAACTATAATCTCCCTGAATATATAGTCCCGGTGTGAAAGAAATTATGGTCCCCTGGGGATTATGGTCCCCTTTCCAAACGGCCCTTACTGGCCCTGATTGTGTATAAAATAATAAGGGAAAGAGTTGTGATTAGGTCACTATATAAATCAATGGAGAGTAGGACCATAATTTGATAGGACCTCCTACCCTTTTACACCGGGATATATAGTCCAAGGATGCATGTTACCAGACTATATTTTCTATGGTATACAATATAACTTCGAGGTATTTATACTGACGAACTATAGATACGTTGACAGCAGTCCCATCCCCATTCAGTACCAATCCTAAATAGCATACCCCATTCAACCAGCTTTGCCTCTTTTTAAGGAGTGATATTCGATTGTTTGGGAATTCTTTGCTAAAATATGATATCCTGATCCAAATATCAATTATATTTTCAAGTAATATTCGATCTATATCATTGTAACCATGGGGTAATAGTAGTTAGCCTAATTCACTATTTTATTTCATTCTAGTAGTGTGATCTTCGACAACTGTACATATGGCAGGCATTGACCCAGTCACCGCGGCCGCTATTATTGATGACAAGGATGACGAGGAAACACTCCTCCTATATCACTTATTTGAGGAAGATAGGCGTGATGGTATTAACGCATTCAGAATAAATCTGGAAAGTCTAT